GGTGTTTCTTATTCGGCAGATCCCAGTTAAAATACTGCCCCGAGAACAGCTATTCTCACAGGGTTTCTGTGATTTTCCTCAGTCCCTCCACGAAATGCTGGGATTAAATTAGGCAACGAACGCTTCCTTACATATTATTTCCTATTCATTAGTCATTAAACATAATAATTGAGTTACTGACAGCGTCGTTTAATAAACCATAAATAAATAAAATCAACAACTTCCAGTTTCAAGAAGTGTCCTACTGGTTTTTGGATAATTTCACCATTGTTCCTCCTTTATAGTGTGTAGCACACGAAAGTTTATATTCAGACTTATTCGTCCTCATCTTTTGTTTAAATAATGTTTATGGATATAAAATACTTCTGCTAATAATCGCACCATTCTGAGCTGTTATTCCTTAGTGCCATGTTTTTGTCATTATATCTAGTCTATAAAAACAGTGACTCCAGCCTTCACATAAATTTAAGGCTTGTGTTTTATGCATTTTTATGGTTATTTTATTCGTTTTTGTTATTTTTAATAGTTTTCCTACATGATTTCTTTTCTTTCAGTTGTTATACAAATGTCCTTTTGATCCAGTACTTTTTTGCACGAGTTTTTTTTTGCGTTTTTACCCATGGAACGGTTTTTTCTGCACAATGGTTTGTTTTTGTTGTTTGATTCAGCTTTCAATATGTTTTGGTTTCATGTACCACTAACTGTCGCCACATTACAATCTACCTCACATATTTCCACAATGTTAGACTGAGGATACTGAACTTACAGGCGAGGCATCTTCGTGATTTTGAATATATCTTACTGTAAAGCAAAGTGCCAAAACTTCAAGACAAAATTTAGCCCTAGTGAGCCACGGTGGTCTAGCGGTTAGAACGCTGGCCTTGTAATCCTGGGGCCTCGGGTTCGATTCCCGGCGGTGCCCGAATTTATAACTTGTGTTGGGCAAGGCCGTGGTCTAGGCAACACGGAGTTTTCCTCCGTGGCATCCCAACAATTACTCCATTCACACACAGAAGAAGGCAATGGCAAACCACTTCTGGATCATCTGCCAAGAACGTATATGAACAGGTCCCAGTCCGAGAAAAGGATGGAAGGATCCTATTCATATGGACCTGTCGTGTTACATCACTGATTCAATATCCATAATCTAAACATGGGTTTGTTGTGAATGTTATCAAAATCAATAAAATGGGACTTGCCCGATTTACGTATTCTATATATGTCACTGGTCACTGATTTACAAAATTTACTCCATTTACAATAGTTCCAAAATATCTCCGAACCGAGGGAGGCGGAGACCAGAAAGCGACAGCACATAGGGACAGATAACTCACTCTATACAGTTGGATGTGAAATTATTACGTTTTGGCTGTAGAAGTGGTGCGTAAGGGTAAAGGGATGTACCCTCATTGCTAGTGTTCTACAACTGATTTGGTTACAAAATAAAAGTGTAGTGTAAAAGTCAGTGAATCAATTTCACTGACTGTGACGAAATTAAAAGGGATTCTTTTGTAGAATCTTTGTCATGTTGCTATCCCCTGCCCTTTCAACATCCCTTCCCCATGTATAAAGTGAAGCTTTCGCGGCGACTGAAGTTGATGAAAGATTCTCGGGTTACAAGTCGCGTCAGGTGGCAGAAGATTTGGTTTATTCAACATTCAGCCACCTGACGCGGCTTCTAACCCGAGAATCTTTCATTAATCCCTTCCCCACTTAGTGTGAAGTAGCTCAACCGCGGAGGTATTTTGTATCCATTGTATAGACAGGCTGTTGTTCAGAATGTGCGAGTGTCGCAACATCATTAGCCTACTGGCATTTTCCTTTGTGAAAAGAGTCTGGTATTAAACGTTTTAAGTCAAAACTATCCTTGGTACTTCATTGTGAAACTCAAAATATGTCGATCGTGGTCTTCTAGGTTGTGACGCCGTGTAGTGGTTACCAACATCGGTAGCCACTACATGACCAAACAGCGTTACAACCCATAAAACGACAATCGACATCTCCACTGACACGAGATCCTCAGATCCTGATTTAAAGTTGGTTATACTGTTCTTGTGTTGTTCTGTGATACTTAATTTTCGTTTCTGTAACAAGGTTGAAGACCATCAATATCCAGCCATAATCATCCAACTTCTCTGACATCGGACGCTTTCTCCAGATCGAAAGTATCAAAATATAAATTCCACAAAATATGTAAAGTAGTTTACACTGCACTGCACTTGAGCAAGATATATTCCCAAGTTCAAAATACAAGCTAGTGTTTATGATAAGACTAAAAATTTAAATTATTTCTAGCAACAAACTATGTTTTAGTAACAGGCTTAAAATATAACATAGTTCGTCATAATTTGTATAATTGCAGTTATACTTAAAATGTATCATTCTGAGACATGTTAATCTCATGGGTGTAAGAAGCAGGAACTGGTTTATAGAAAGCTGGAGGAGGCGTCACGAAAGGGGACTTGTTGATTTCAGTTCTATGACCTCCCCTCATATCTCTTCGAGCCGGGAAAGAGACCTCTATCGCTGCCACCGCAGAACATGCTCCATCTGTGGCAAAGTATCAAGGTACCCAGACTTTCATTCTGTTCTGGCAACATCGAACCCTTTAAAACGCAAACTTCACGCGTCCCAAAGCAATTATAAATCACTGTATATAATCATTTTGGTTATACAGGCCTGAATGTAACAATTCTAACATCACCAACGCTTTAATTGTACGAATATTAATCTCTCAGTCCAAGGGTCGAAAAGAAGAATATTTGGATCTAACAGATACACAGTAACATGAAAATAGATAACAAAACAGCATTAATATCCATAATTTGTTTTCACTTCAAACTGTTAGATTACTGAAAGACAAAGAAAGGGACAGGAAGAAAGAATAAATAATTGCAATGAATTCTTTTCGGGCTACCAGTTGTTTCAAGTGCTTGAAAGGCGAAAATATCAACATTTCGAGAACCAACTTAGTCCTCGTCCTCGTCCTCAGGGTATGTTGGTGTTTTCTGCATTCAACCACCTCACACGACTGGT